GGCGCAGGTGGGGAGGGGGCAGGTGGGGAGGTGATGAATGGCAGGAGCCTAGCAGAGCATCCACTGGTCTCCCTCGGAATGGCCATTATCAGAAAGGGAAGACAGCACCTCCTCAGTGCTCCCACCTTACCCAGGAGCCATCAGGTGGGCGAAGACGGAAAATGGAGTCTAACTCGCACACACTCAAACTGAGGAGCGCCGTTCAGGTTGTGAGAGACGGAGGAGATGCAATAGCGGAGGAGACGCGTGGCCCGGGAGGTTACTGCAGCCACTCCCACTGGTCAGGTGGGGGCGCTGCACTGGCTTCCTGCTGATGCGGCTCTGTGGCCACCAGAGCAGCCATCACTCAGCCACTTAGGGTGGGAGCCCCGCCTGCACCTCTGGGAGGACTTCAGGACTAAGTGCACCCGCAGGAGAGGGCCGAGCCGGGAGGCAAGGGCGTGCCTGTGGGGCACCCCCAGGCTGGGCAGGCAGGGGCCCCCTACCCCTCCTGGGAGTTCCCTGTAACACTGAAACTAGGTCAGAACGCCAAGTGTCAAGAGGTCTAAGTAGCCATGTGATGACCTGCACAGCTGGGAGGGACTTTCAGGAAACCTCGCGGTGACAGGTGCGGACGCCCCGCCAGCCTGCGGGGACTGAGGCGCAGTAAACGGCTGATGCTAAAAGCCGATCCGTCCCTGCAAGGGCTTTGGGGCCCCAATGGAACTGGTGCCTTAAACACAGACTCCTCACCAAGAACGCCGGCTCTCCAAAAGGCGAGAAGTCCACCGCGGTCACCTTCACCGGCCTCTCGCCGTGCTGCTGGGGTTTGAAGAATCTGGGAAATACTCTCAGGTCCTGTCTGGAGCCATGGCCTACAAAACCCTGGTGATAAACATACAACAGTGACTAAAGCCAAGGGAAGTACAAGGCTGGGTAAAGCTAGTCTTCTCGAAACAGCTTAAGCAACATTGTAAAAGCAGTGAATTCATCTTTATTGACGACATTGATCAAGCAACTCTAGGAAAGAAGAAGGGTTCCAGAATGAAGTTTAGAATATTCCTCACCATGTTGGTGCCGACAATAAAGTGATTAGGATCTGAAGGCAAAAATTTAACATTCAGTGTTTGTGCAGCTCCCCAGCGTCCGTCGCCTTTGTGGGAAAGGCTGGAAGAAACAGCAGAGGTGAGCGGACGGGCTGGGAACCGCGGGCCATGACGGCGCAGCCACGCATCACGCGTGTGCTGTGACTGCTTCCCGTGTTCTGTGCCTGGATCGTTTCCTCAGATGCGTCTCGCATGCCATGCTACTTCACATTCCCTCCTTTACTCTCACGGGTCAGCCTCGCTTCTAGAACTCTCTCAGATTGTGCCGTAATCTCCGCAGGCGAACCCGCGGGCTGTGCCCTCTCCTTCGGCTGCACTGATCAGGCCTGTGATGCTGGGGTTTCAAGTCTCCTCCTCCTCCATCTCCTGGGCTGGGGCGGGGCTTTCTGGGTTTCTCTCTCACGAAGGGACAAGGACCCCAGGGCTGTGCGGGGTCCAGCCCCACCTTCCAGCCTCGGGCAAGCCCGCAGCACGCAGCCCCGGCATGGGTGGAGCCACAGCAGCAGCGGGGCCCAGGGGCCCAGCCTCATCCTACACACACACACACACACACACACATATGCACACACGCATGCACACGCGCGCACACATACATACGTGTGCATACACACACGCACACTCGTACACACACGCACACATACACACGTGTGCGTACACACACGCACACTCGTACACACACGCACACATACACACGTGTGCGTACACACACGCACACTCGTACACACACGCACACATACACACGTGTGCGTACACACACGCACACTCGTACACACACGCACACATACACACGTGTGCGTACACACACGCACACTCGTACACACACGCACACATACACACGTGTGCGTACACACACGCACACTCGTACACGCACGCGCCCACACGCACACACCCGCACACACACAGATACACACACACACACACACACAGACGGGCTGCCCCTGGCTCCAACCTCCACCCTGGACCTGGCACTAACAGACGTTCCTCTCATGTAAAGACTTGTGTGCATAGTTGTAACAGCAGAAACCGCTCTGCCTGCGCCAGAAGCAGAAATCTGGCCACGGTCTCTCTCCCCCACACGCAGGACTGCAACTGTCAAACGCAGACCCTCCTATCACTCGCAGAACAGAGCTGAGCCCGCCCCTGCCCCCGCCTGCCAGGCTGCCCAGGTCCTGCCTCAGATCCACTCCTCCTCATCTGTGTGGGACCTGGACCCCGAGCCAGGCACTGGAGAGGGCAGGGCCTCCCTCTCACCATTCCTAGGACCTTCGCTGAAAGGCACCCTCATCCCCACGACGGCTGCCCGGCCCTGACTCTGACCTTCCACACCGATCCGATCCCTGCAACAGCCCAGGCGGCTCCGCTCCAGTCCCCGCCTCTGCTCCACACTTTCCCTCTAAGCCCCGAACAGCTCCCGATCGCCATCAGGAATGGAGGACTGTGGAAACCCTCACGCAGCAAACACTGACTCATCCTTCTCTGGACGGCAAGCCTCCAGGTCCTGCCTCACTGTGTCATAGCCTCATGCCCTGGCTCCACGTCCTGCTCCTGCTGATCAGACACTCCTGGTCCACCTCCCACCTCAGGGCCACCTCTCCAAGAAGTCACCAGTCACCCCCACCGTCACTCTGAGCTCCCACAAGCATGTGCATGTCCCATAGAGCGAGTCACGCATGTGCCATACCCATGGTGGATGAGGAGACATGCCGCCACCCAGGGTCACTCCCTCCTCAGACTCCCGAGTTCAGTGACGGACGGGAGAGAGGGCACAGGACCTGGCAAGGACACTCGGGAGCTCCCGGGCCAGGGCCGTCTGCATCTGCGTGACAGTCACCTGCCCCTTGCGGCCAGGTCTGTGCTCTCCCCTTTGTAGGCACGGGTCCCGGGGGACCACCATGAACACCCCTCTCACTGAGCTCTATTCCCCTGACACAGGGAGCCCACCTCCGTAACCACGGGAACTACCTGTCTGCGTCCTTACAAAAGCCCGGGGTCCCACCAGCCCAGGGGCCACCCGTGGGCACGAAGGACTGGGGTCTGCGACCACCGGTCCTGTTTAACTTCCTGGTTGTATTAACACTGAGTGAAAAATAGTCACATCGCACCGATTCATAAGCTGGACCATATTTTAATCAAAGAAAAGCAGTTGGCTCTCCATTTGCGATGTGCCTTTACACTGACACATGAATGACCAGGCATTCGGCCATCATCTCTGTCGCCTCCCCATGTGGGACACGGGCCTGTGCTGAGGGGCTGCCTCCCGGGGGCACTTACCTGTCGCTCAGCCGAGTCACAGAGCTGTGCACCAGCTTTATCCTCCCTCCAGGGATGAGCCCTAAAAGCAGGGAGACGGGGATAGATGTGCCTCTGAGGACCAGCGGCCCGGTCCCTGGAATCACGCTTCACTGCTCCACACCTGTGTCAGGGGCAGACCGGAAGGCAGGAGGCCCCCGGGGGCAGGTGCGGTTCCTGAAAGCCCCCGGTGCTCAGCCGAGAAATAAGGGTGTGCAGTCAGAGCCTTGGGAAAGGGCTGTGAGCCACGGTCAGGAAGCCCTTGCCTTTCAGACCTGATCCGGCAGCACACTGAGCGGAAGATACCGGAATGAAAACCAGCACTCAGCACCCCGCCTCCCGCAGCAGCACAGGGTGCGGTGGGCCCTGCCGGGCGCCCCCCTCCGCGCCCCTGCCTCCTCCCAACGACTCGCACACCACCCTTCCCTCAACGTCATCATGGCCACAACCTGCCCCTCAGCCACGCGGTGGCTTTGCTTCCTGTCTATTCCCAACACCATCTTCCCGTTTGTAATTACTGCATCTTGAAACCCAAATTCTGGGCAAGGCACTGTCCTCAATGTGCCCATCAATAAGCTCAACCCGCAGATGAAGCCAGGAGACTGCCAATGCTGCCGTCACAGGTGGGAAGCGGCGTCCCACTTCCCCAGGGGGCGCCTTCCCGGGGAAGCCAGCCAGGCCTGAGCGCGCCCTCGGCAGCACCCTTCTGACCTGAGCCCCGTGGGCCCTCTGCCCACACTCCCCGTCCACTCACCTGTTTCCTGGCACCTGGGACGGGACCAGGTTGCTCAGAGAACACTCATCAGTGAAGGACTGGCTCCCACCACAGTGGGTGCTCTCTGACCGGCCCCCAATCTAATGCACGAGATAGAGCTTGGACCAAACACTGGTCCCTGACGTACAACATAGGGATCCAAGGGACACAGACGTCAGGGAACTAACGCGCTCGGCCTCGCTGCCAGCACTCAGCCCGCACGCCCTTCCTCACTGCAGCTGAGGTGCTCACACAATGGCCGATGAGGTTGTAAGACACATGACCTTCATGCTCATCTTTCAGGTAGCCAACCACTTATTTTCCAAGTAGTTAATGCTATCTTTAATCTTTCATTTTCAGCAAACACTGACAGAAATTCATTTTTTTCATTTAATAGTTACCTAAATCACTTATCGAACCTGCAAGATCTGCCTTTGGTAATTCAACAACCACCTAAAAACAGAATATTGAGATGAACATTAACGCATTTTATAATGAGGGAGCCATCTAAGCACAGCACAGGTCTAAACAGAGACACCAGCTGAGCGGGTGCTAGAAGCGTAACTGCTCCAGACAGAGCGGCCTCGCTTCAGAATCATCCCTGCGAAGCTGCCAGCCCCTCCCGCCCTCACCCCTCCCTGACGTCGGGCCAGTGCCTCGGAGCATCGCACATCCTTTACCCTCATCCCTGACTGCCCGTCTCTGGTCCACGTGCGTCCGCCCCCACAGGACCCACAGCTCCTGGGACGCTGCCCTGCCCTGTCTCCCTGTCACGTGGCCCTGGCAGCCTTCTCCCCAACAGCCACACACTCTGCTCCCAGAACCTGGGAATGCAGGGGCACAGGGCCCGCGTGCCCCACTCACCCACACGTTGAGAACCCCACTCTCGTCCAAGGAAGCGATGTGGAACGACAAACCCGACATTTCTAACAGAGAGAGAGAAATGGCTCAGCGAGGAGCGCACAGGCCACAGCCTGAGTTCGGGGTTCTAGGGCGGTGAGGGTCACGTACCTTCCTGAGCAGAAAAGGGCGAGAGGACAAAACTCTGTTTCTTGTGGCCAGACGCCGCGACAGGCTCGATGGCTTGCAGGGGGCTGCGGTGGTTCACAGGGGTGAGGACGCCATCTGGGGAGGCACAGGCGCCAGGGGGGATAAGTTAGAGACACACCGCCGTCGGGGAGGGGCAGACACAGGTGCTTCTGAGATACATGCTCCCCCTGGGACCACGGCTGAGGTTCCCTGGGGCCACTGCCTTCCGCATGACCACGGAGCAGACCACAGCCCCAGCCACCTGTGAGAGGAACGGGACATCCCGCCGGTGGGTGGAGGGCCCTGGGACTCCCTCCTGGGAGTTGGGGGTCTCAAGGACGGACAGAGACCAGAGAGACAGCTCAGCTCCCAGGGCAGCCACCTGACGGGCAGGGCAGCCTGGAGCCGCTGCTTCGGGAGGGAGGGGCCACACCTCCTCAAAAAGCACGTATGTAAAGCAAACACACACAGAAATGCCTGGAATCAGAAACTCAGAACAGAAATTTTAACAAAACGAGCAAGAAAGAGAGAGCTGGGGCTGAGCTCAGCAAAGATGACGCATAAACGACAGATCTGGAGCCGATGGGCAGGACACAGGCGGCGCCGAGACGCGGCTCGGACTTCTCCTGAGGTCCATGGACCCCTCACTCCCCGGAGCCCACTGAAGCCTCATAGGTTTGGGGACAGGACTTGGTGGTGAACTCAGAGATTAACCAGTAACATGGGCAGCACATGTGAAAGGTGTCTATTCCAACAGCATCACACCAACGAGGATCCTATTTTCTGCCAAGGGCCGTTTGGATATTGGTAACATCATCTGTGGGCCACACCAGATCATCCACTTAAACATTAGCTGCTGTATTGGGTCAAACATTTAATGCCTTGGCAGGGCCAGCCCAAATGATTTCGCGGGCCTTATACGGCGCACGGGCCGGAGGTTCCCCACCCATGCTATAGACTCACACATTCTCCCTCAAAGGGGCAAAAATTGGTTGTTCGGAGACCAAAAAAAAAAAAATACTTGCTCTTTTTGTGTATAAAACACAGACATGCATACAGTAAGATATGCCATGCATGTGCGGTGCTGACTTTCCTAGAGGGCTGATCAGGAAAAGGAGTGTGAGAGAATGAGAAGACAAGCCCTAGCAGGGAGGAAATACTTGTGAAGACACATCTAATGAAGGGCTGGTGTCCAAAATGCACAAAGAACCCTTACAACTCAGCCATGAGAAAGCAATGAATCCGTTTAAAACGTGTAAAAGACCTGAACAGACACGTCTCAGACAGAAAGCAAGCAAGCACCTGAGGCGCTCCACACCCCGTGTCATCCGAGAGCCACCGTGAGAACAGTGGGAGGCTGCCACACGCCTGTCAGTGGGCAAAAACACTGACAGCCGCGTGCCGCCCGGCGCAGACACCCAGAGTGCCTGTGAGGAGGCCATGTGGTGTGAGCATGCGGAGCCCAGATAACCGACAAAGCGCCTGGTGTTTCCTGGAGGGAACGACTGCTCAGCAGAAGGAGGTGACCTGGGAACTCACAAGAGCACAGGGGAGCCACAGAGATGCTACATGAGGAAAGAAGCCAGACGCAAGGGTGTATGCTCCACATGGCCCTCGTACCTTCCATCTGGAGAAGCAGGACACAGAGACAGAGGACAGACCAGTGGTGGTGGGAAAGGGGGAAGGGTGTCAGGGTGGGGACACGTGAGAGTGAGGACAATTGGGTGAGGTCCCGTGAGTGGACAGCCCTCATCTCTGAGCAGCAGCGGTGGAGGGTGAGACGGCATTGAACACGATGCCTGGGAAGCACTGGAACGAGCCCAGACACGAGACTCTGCCAAGTGGTGGGGGTGCTGCTGAGTGACTGGTTGGTTTTGATTGTAGTTGTGCTTGTTTGCCTGTGGTTATGGTTGGTTGTTTGTGGTTGGCTAGTTGTAGTTGTGTGGTTGTATGGCTATGGTTAGTTGTGGCTGGGTTGTTTGGTTATAGTTGATTGTGGCTGTAGCTGGTTAGCTGTGGTTGCTTGGCTGTGGTTGTTTGGTTGTGGCTGTATTGGTTGGCTGTGGTTGTGTGGTTATGGCTGTGTTGGTTGTTGTGCTTGTTTGTTTGTGGCTGTGTTGGTTGGCTGTGGCTGTAGTTGTTTGTGGCTGTGTTGGTTGGTTGTGGTTGTGGCTGTGTTGTTTGGTGGTGCTTGTGGTTGTGTTGGTTGGGTGTGGTTGTTTGGGTGTGGCTGTGTTGGTTGATGGTGGTTGTTTGGGTGTGGCTGTGTTGGTTGGTTGTGGTTGTGTAGTTGTATTGGTTGGTTGTGGCTGTGTTGGTTGGTTGTAGTTGTGGCTGTGTTGGTTGGTTGTAGCTGTGTTGGTTGGTGGTGGTTGTGGTTGTGTTGTTTGGTGGTGCTTGCGGTTGTGGTTGTTGGTTGTGGTTGTGTTGGTTGGTTGTGGCTGTGTTGGTTGGTTGTGGTTGGTTGGTTGTAGCTGTTTGGTTGTGGCTGTGCTGGCTGGCTGTGGTTGCTTGGTGTGGTCACAGTTATGGTTGCAGCTACAGCTGCCTGGCATGAAGTATTCTTGGGGTCCAACCTAGATTGCTGCAGGTCCTGTTGTTCCAGTTCCTCTCGTTCCCCCTGGTGGAGGTAACTAAGCCAGGAGCACACTTACCAACATGCCTTAAGCTAATTTAAACTAGAAACGTCATCTCACTGAGGATTTGGAATCCACACATTAACAAGAAAGATGTTATAATCTGTTGGCCACAGGCTAACCGTGGCCTGGAGGCATTTTTGTTCTCCTTTTTGTCAAAGGCCTCTTTTGCTCATAGGTCAGACCCCATCCTCTGGGGTAACCGGAACCATAAATGCCAAGACATTTCAGACGCTCCTGGAGTCTGTCACACTTGTCTAGAGACACCTACAGGCAGGCGGGCCTCACTGACCAGTGGAAAACGTTGCTGTCCTGAATGTCCAAAAGCAGTCGCTCAGCTTCACATAACGATGCATCCGAGAGTCTTCTCTCAGGTCCCACACGATGACCGAGCCGTGCACGGTTCCAGCAAACAGCAGGAAGGCCTTGAAGGGGCTCAGGCAGCAACAGGTGACCTGGGAGGACAGAGAGCTCTGCTGCCACGGCGCCCGGGGCCTACCTGAGAAGCTGCAGACACGAAGCCCGTCTGGGCGTGTCTGTGCCGGCTTTCTCAGTGTGCGCCAGGCCCCACTCAGCCCCATCAGCAAAGCCAGCTTCTGTCTCTCCATTTACAGCCTGCATCACCAAAAGTTATCTTCAAGTCCCAAAACTGACATCAGTAAAAGTTACTGTTCTCTACTGTTTTGGTGGAATCAATGATTCTGAGGTCAAGGAGCATGTAAACAGGTGACCTGCGTGGCCACCAGACCACGGCCTGTGAGCCAGGGGCCAGAAAACGCATGAGACTACAGACTCAATCTCAAGCATTAAGAAACCTCTACCATGGCCAGGACCCAGACAGCACAAGCAACAAGTCCACTCTGAACCAAAGCTGTGCCCAGGGGCCATGTGTCCACTTGGCCTGGAGCCCTAACTGATACCCAATTCCCACAGTGTGTGCCAACCAGACTTCACGCTGTGGGTTTCTTCTGAACTTAAAATTTTTAGAGTCAAAACAGACCCGCTCATGTCCTGTCACAGCTGCACAGACAGAGCTGAGGGAGGCCAGGAGGAAAGAGAAAGGAGCTGACAAGTCCCACCCTCCTGCTCCCTGTGGCCCAGCAGGCGCCCACCTGCCCGCCCTGCTCCCGAGTGATACCTGCGACTCACACACCAGGACCTTCTGCGGCCCCGAGGGCTGCCAGATGTCCCACACGCAGAGCAGGTGCCTGCGGTCCAGCGGGGGCGCGCAGGCCTGGTCAGGAAGCCCGTGAACGGACACCACTTGCCTCCGCGCCGGAGAGGCGTGCAAGCTGGACACGTTGCGATCTGGGGACAGAATACGGCAGTGCCGCAGCATGGGAGGGTCTGCCAGAACCAGGTCAGATAACACACAAATATGTCAGTGCATTTCAGCTTCACGAAGAAGCAGCATGGCCTTCCAAAGCTCCACGTGCCTGAAATGCGGGTGGTCAACGGCCACAGCTCTACAAGAACCCTGTCAAAGCTGACGTGTGGGTTTGCTAAAAAGTGATCCTTCAAACTCGGTACAACGCAGCCCGGAGCCAGGCCGCCTCAGTGGGCCCTGCAGTCCCCGAGGTGTCACACCGCCAAGCAGCTCCGTCAGGGGCCCTGCCCACTTTGTTTTTCTCCCAAGAGCTTGCCCAGTTCAACCTACTGCACACGTCACTCATTTAGCAAGTTCATAGTCTGACCCACAAGGATTTCTGTCCACTGCTGACTCTCACCAGGGCCCGGGACACTGGACACACGCTGCACATGGGCCAACGCAGGAATGAGGAGCGGCCCGCCGGCACCACGCTGCTGCGCGGGCGAGCACTCCTGGACGGCGGAAGCATCACTCCTTCCGAGGCCTCGCCTCACAGGTGTGACCAGCGAGCCTCAGACACCTGTCATCCACTCTCCCTCTGTCACCTCAGAATTCATTCCACCAAAATGCAAACCTAGGAGGAATCCCTCCCTGTCCTCAGGAGGGTCTCCCACGCCCTCCAGAGGCCAGTCCTGTGAGCACACGCACACTCGTGTCCCCCACGAGGGACTCTTATGCCAGTGGCACTTGTACCAGCGCCTCCAGGCCTGCAGGTGCGTCACTGGGCAGCTCCGGGAGAAGAGGTGGTGTGGTGCGTGCACACCTGTTTGGAATTCCATAGAGACAGTGATTTACTATTTCCTGACAGGATAACTCATATCTTTTAAAAATAAAAACACCCCCCAAAACACAAGCTTTTTAAAGCTAAAATGCCATTTTTGTTTACGTGAAACACCCACGCAGCGAAGGACAGAGGCACCCCCACGACACGCCGCGCGTCCCTCCTGCGCGGCCGCCTGCGGCCATCGTTCCACAGCAGAGCAGTGACCAGCCTCAGGCACTGACTGGACCGCGCAAATGCAATTTTTAAAACTGATCTAAACGATTACATGTGACCACACTTCACGTCTGACAAATGTTTTGTGCTTTGAGGCCACGGGCTACCTGTGGGTCTACGGAGCAGAGCCAGCGCAGGCCGCACGGCCTCTCAGCGCTGCGCTGCTCCGGTCTCAAAGGAACAACCGAGCGGCGCCCGAGCAGGGGCAGGTCCTGGCGCCGCCTCAGCAAACACGCACACCCGCACGTGTCCCGTCTGCCCCTCACAGCTGCACCTCACGTCACACAGGCGGGCCCGAGCCCGCGACGTCAGCGTCACGCGTGGTCCCACTTAGGCACCAGCAGGGGGCTCTTACGCTGGAGGAAGGGCAGGCTGGTGTTCAGCTGCCAGGCGCTGTCGCTGAGGGGCAGGGTGCTGTCCTGGGCCCCGGGGTCCCGGCTGGGGGCAGCTGCCACGCGGTCCTCTTCCAGCAAAACTGCAACCACCTTCCAAAGACAGTGAGTGCCCGAATCAGCACGCCGCCCGCTCATCTCCCCCACATCTCACAGGAGCTGCTCCCCCGCCAGGCGCCAAGGAAGCGACAGGGTGCAAGGACACTGTCCTGCGGGCACAGCAGGGGAACAACTCCTCAGGAAGCTGGGATCTCAGGGCACACGCCACTGTTTATGGCAGAGACTCTGCTAAAGTACCAGGACGAAGACACGTCACGTGCAGGCCCCAAGGTGTTCTCCCTGCGCTACGAGGACCCAGGAGGCGCAGTGAGCCAGTCACTGCTGCCTGCCCAGCCGCCTGCCGCTCCGCCCTGCGCTGCCAGCCCCCTCAGCCTCCCAGGACTCACACCTCGGAGAGCCACCGCTCAGCGTGTGGAAGCAGGACTCGCTGGAGTGGGGACAGCGGGCAGGCCAGACTGAGCCCCACGCCAGCTGCTTTACACCAACGGAGACGTGGTGGGACCAGGAACAGACTCCCGACTTGAGGGCATTCGAAAGAGTAGGAATGTGGGTCCTTCTCTTTAGAGACTCACAGGGGCTCACGGGGCCGTGTGGGCACTGCCCTTGTGTCACAGCAACAGGGAGGGTCTGTGGGGGCTCAGAGGAGACAGTGGCCGCGACCTGCAACTGCGGAGGCGCCTCAAGTCCTCCACGTGCTCCCTGTCTCTCATGCCGCTTGACGTTTCCATGGCCAGTTTAAAAGTCATAAGTTTCTTAGTTTCAAATACTCTAGAGCTGTGGTCAGCAAACTGGCTCGTGAGCCACATGTGGCTCTTTGGCCCTTTGAGTGTGGCTCTTCCACAAAATACCACGTGTGGGCGCGCACATACAGTGCGATTGAAACTTTGTGGCCCATGCGCAGAAGTCGGTATTTTGTGGAAGAGACGGTATTTTGTGGAAGAGCCACACTCAAGGGGCCAAAGAGCCGCATGTGGCTCACGAGCCCCGGTTTACCGAGCCGCAGTTTGCCGACCACTGCTCTAGCCCAGTGGTTCTCAACCTTCTGGCCCTTTAAATACAGTTCCTCATGTTGTGACCCAACCATAAAATTATTTTCGTTGCTACTTCATAACTGTAATGTTGCTACTGCTATGAATCGTCATGTAAATATCTGATATGCAGGATGGTCTTAGGCGACCCCTGGGAAAGGGTCGTTTGACCGCCAAAGGGGTCGCGACCCACAGGTTGAGAACCGCTGCTCTAGAGCTATGTCTGCCTTGCCAACTTCATTTGTGTTTTCCAGTCGTTGTTTATGTTAGTTGGTGGTGACCCAGGTGACAGGCCACGTCCCAGGCACCTACCTGGCAGGCCGCCCGGAGGAAGCTGGACAGTCTCAGCGTGTCCACCTTGGGCACAGCAGCTGCATCCGAGGGCTCCCTGCTCTCACTCCCTAAAAAGTCACAGAAAACAACCAGGTGGGCTCTAAGCAGCCACGTCAGAGTGCAGAGGCCACATGAACATTAGGAAGCTGGAAGCGGAGCTCAGAAAGTCCACGTTTACTCTGGATCTACTGTAAACTGCACCTGATGGAGGGAGGCTCGGGCGATGAGCACAGGTGCTGGGTCACAGCACCGCTCACCTGAAACTCGTCACCTCATGAACCGCTGTCCCCAATACATGTAACTGAGAAAACCCACTGCATCCTGTTTTACATAGTCTGTGAACGGAACCCTACTTAAAGACATTAAGGAAAGCACAGGGTGGACAAAAGTAGATTGACAGTTGTAACACAAATAACCCAATCGTTAATGAGTAATAATACAAGAAACTCTGTTTTGCGTGCTCACAACTGTAAACTGCCTTTGCCCACCCCTGTAGCTCACGGCATTGATGATGGTGTAAGTGTCACATGTCGGTGCCTGATTTCTTAGGGGGAGGCTTCCTCAGAATCAGCTGCAGCAGGGAAGGGGACATGGAGCACACAGGTCACGGAGGAAAGCCGCGAGCGTGGAGCACGCCTCTGGGACCTGCCATCTGTATTGACACCACGTATCTGCAACCACACTCGTGTAGAAAATCTCTATTGCTCAGCTGGTTGATTCCAAGAATCAAGAGGTTGCGGTTCGATTCCTGTTTGGGACACAGTACCGGGTTTCGGGCTCAATCCCCAGTAGGGGGCATGCAGGAGGCAGATGAGTGATAATCGATGTTTCTCTCTCATCAATGTTTCTATCCCTCTCCCTTCCTCTCTCTCTAAAAACCAATGAAAAAGACATTTAAAAAAAATTAAAAACAAATCTCTACTAAGGAGAACAGATTATCCCAAGTCAAAAGCCAAGTGCGCTCAGAAGCCTTCACGAAGCTGCGTGTTTGGAGGGGACTCTGCCCTGCTGACCCGCCCAGCTGGCGCTCAGGCCGCTGGTTTGCCCCACCAAGAGGGCGTGGCACTTCCATCAGGTACGAACCACCACCCCCGGGAGAAAGGCAGAAGGAGAAAGAGCAAGAGATGCACTGAGCATAGCACCACAGGCAACGTGAAGAACCCGGCTCTCAGCGGGGAGCAGCTGCGAGCTGCTTACCCCCTGACACGGCCGCGCCTTCCCCGGGGTGCTGAGTCCACGCCTCCCTGGTCTCCATCTCCTCTGTCTGGATGTCTCGCTCCACGTTCCCTTCATTGCACTGGACGTACGCCTTCAAAACAAAGGGCTGCGTGAGCGCTCAGCCTCAAGCAATGCCTGGTTACTGACAAGAAAAACGTTAGTTCTCAATGGCAGTCTTCTTGCTTTTGTCAAAAATAAGTATCATGGCATAAATACCATCAAGCAAAGGCAGTCTGGGTCTTAAAAGTTTGCTGTGTTTAATAGGCCTGACTTTCTAAAGGGTTTTAAAAAAGTCACATCAAACAATTCAGCTTTGGTGTAAAAAACTACTGAGGAGCCCACCAACATCTATTTTTTTAGGAACATACTGACTTCGCAAACCAAAGGCAATCTAGCCCTAGCGGTTTGGCTCAGTGGATAGAGCATCAGCCCACGAACTGAAGAGTCCCAAGTTTGAATCCAGTCAAGGGCACCTATCTTGGTTGCAGGCTCGATCCCAGGCCCTGGTCGGGACACATGCAGGAGGTAACCAATGGATGTCTCTCGCACATCGATGTTTCTCTCTCTCCCCCTCCCTTCCACTCTCTCAAAATATCAGTGGGAAATACCTTGGGGTGAGAATTAGCAACAGCAAAACAGGTGCGTGCTGCAGTAATGCGTGTCGTTACTAGCAACTCTGAGATGAGGAAAGGGGCAGAGGAGCTGGACCGTCGGCTCAAGGTTAGCGTGAGTCAGCAGGACTCACCCAGCACTCCTGCAGGGCCATCCCGTGACCTCCTCCTATTGAGAGACTGTCACCAACGGAATGGACCCACAGTATGTACCCAATGGCACTAACAGGACATAAGAAAAATGCAAGAGATAATCCCTGCCTTCAACTTCTGGAAGGGAGGGGGAGTTAGTGACTACAGTACAACAGGGGAGTCAGCTGTGTGGCATGGAGGGTGGAGACTTTGGAATAAGAGAGTTCAGTGTAAGTCATGAGGGAAGGCTTCACCTCAGGCCTCGAACCAGGCCATGGACACTGAGAAACACACGTGTGACAGGAGGGCTAGGCTCGGTGACAGAGAAAACACAAGTCAGTGATGGGGGCCTCCCACAGTGAGAGAGGGCACACAGGCAGGTGAGGGGGCCTGGCACAGTGAGAGAGGGCACACAGGCAGGTGAGGGGGCCTGGCACAGTGAGAGAGGGCACAAAGGCAGGTGATAGGGCCTGGCACAGTGAGAGTGGCACAGTGAGAGAGGGCACACAGGCAGGTGAGGGGGCCTGGCACAGTGAGAGAGGGCACACAGGCAGGTGAGGGGGCCTGGCACAGTGAGAGAGGGCACACAGGCAGGTGAGGGGGCCTGGCACAGTGAGAGAGGGCACACAGGCAGGTGAGGGGGCCTGGCACAGTGAGAGAGGGCACACAGGCAGGTGAGGGGGCCTGGCACAGTGAGAGAGGGCACACAGGCAGGTGAGGGGGCCTGGCACAGTGAGAGAGGGCACACAGGCAGGTGAGGGGGCCTGGCACAGTGAGAGAGGGCACACAGGCAGGTGAGGGGGCCTGGCACAGTGAGAGAGGGCACACAGGCAGGTGAGGGGGCCTGGCACAGTGAGAGAGGGCACACAGGCAGGTGAGGGGGCCTGGCACAGTGAGAGAGGGCACACAGGCAGGTGAGGGGGCCTGGCACAGTGAGAGAGGGCACACAGGCAGGTGAGGGGGCCTGGCACAGTGAGAGAGGGCACACAGGCAGGTGAGGGGGCCTGGCACAGTGAGAGAGGGCACACAGGCAGGTGAGGGGGCCTGGCACAGTGAGAGAGGGCACACAGGCAGGTGAGGGGGCCTGGCACAGTGAGAGAGGGCACACAGGCAGGTGAGGGGGCCTCGCACAATGAGAGAGGGCACACAGGCAGGTGAGGGGGCCTCGCACAGTGAGAGAGGGCACACAGGCAGGTGAGGGGGCCTGGCACAGTGAGAGAGGGCACACAGGCAGGGGACAGTCAGGGCATACAGGGGGAGGTGCAATGGAACAGAAAGGATGGGATGAGGGTGAATCACTTCAGGGGGAGCATGGGAATCACTGGGTGCACAGCGCTTGGAGGCCCTGCACTATGACAGTCACACCCTCACTGGGACCCGAGCAAGGGATCCAGGGGACATTCTGCTCCCCACACAGCCACACTGGGAGCGGGGAGCCGCCCTCCGTGTGGGCTTCTGTGGACACCTGCACACCGTTCAGGTTCACTTGCACCACGTGGTGAATGAGGGGCCCTTCTCCCTCCCTCCTCCTCCTCCGCACATTCCCTGCCCTCAAGGTCCAGAGCGCAGTCAGTACCTGCTGTACTCACCTGCTTGGTGTTTTTTCTCCCGAAGTTCCTGATGTACATGTCATATTCATTTACTGGTGGCAGATCCAAGAAAGAGAATGTGAATGAAAAGTCCAGGTCAATGAGCCGAAGCAACTTCGTGCTGCGTGTCCTGGAAAATAAATTGGAAACAGACAAGTTAAACTGAGCAATGCACAGGGGCATGCGGGGAGCCTCTGGTGAGACAGAGCTGCTGTCCGGGACTCACCTGTCAGTGTCTGCCTGAGGCATTTAGCAGTCACGCGCGGACCAACGTGAGAGCATCATGAACCATGCTTCCCGAGTCAACACAGAACCACGTCAGGCTCCGTCCCTAGAACTGTCAGAAAGCAATTCTCTTCACTTCACGACTTCGTGGGCTTGGACCAGCTTTGCCTTTCTGTGATGTCGCTGTGCTGTGGCCTGAAAGGGAGTGTCATGTTCGTGCCGCCCACTGTCCTTGAAGCGCAGACCTGTGTCCCATGGGACTGGACCATGCCGTCGCCTACAAGCCAGCCGCCCTGCTGCCCACAGGGCGCCCAAACCCTGCACTTGGTTTTCCTCGGCTCACAGACTCCTATTCGACTGCCGGGCTGGTCTCCTTTCCTTTCGGACGTTAATGCCGGCGCCAGGCTCCTGGGCACCCCATTGCAGGAGCTCTGCTCTCCTCCCAGCTGGTGCTCCACCCACAGGTGTCCTTCCCACTCACTCAGGGTCATTACCCAAACCACCACCTTCCCATCACCTTACTCTCTAGCTACCATCCCATCCTCCCAACTTACAGCTCCAGTCCGCCATCCCCACACATCTCCCACCACACGGCACCCCCAACAGATGAACCCACGGCTCACGGCTCACTCGTGTAAGCCTTCATGGACATGAGTTGTCCACAGTGCCATCTTTTACCCTCTCGGTGTTTGTGGTAACGGCCTTTTCATTCTTGCTGTTGAGTCTTTGTGTCTGGCTTTCTCTTTTCCCTTAAGTCAAGCTTCTTAGGGCTTATAAATTCTATGAATGTTTTTAAATAATTCCTTTTGGCTTTGTTAAACTTGACAGCTTCCAATTTTATGGATTTCTGACATTATCTTCTATTATTTTGTTCCTTCTCATTTCTTACTGTCCTTTGCCCCATTGAGATAGGTATGTGGACATTGGTTTGCAGCCTTTTCCGTTTCCAATGTGTCTCAGAATAGCTTTAACTGAATCCCACAGCTTTTAAATGCTGGTTTCCATTATCTGTGGAAAATAGTTTCTAATTCCCATTTGACTTCTTTGACCCACAGCTTTTTAGAAGTATAATACTTGATTTTCAAACTTTTGGGTATTTTCTAATTACCTTTTTATTATTGATTTCTAGCTTAATTGCACTGTGGTCAAAACACGTCTTCTGTATTTTTTCAATCCCATGTCCAGAACATACGATCTTTTGAGAACTTTTCTCTGTATTCTTCAAAAGAACATAAATATTGCACTTGCAGGTATACTTTTAGGTGTGTGTTAGATGTAGTTTAACCATGCACTCAAACCTTTGTACCTCCACTAAATTTCTATCAGCTGCCAAGGGACATGCGCTGCCAATGCCCACCTGTGTCTGAGGCACCTGTGTGCTGCCCAGTGTGCTCTGTCCACTCTGTGCTCCAGCACTGGGTGCATTCGGGCCGCCTGGCAGGCTCATCTGCTGAGCTGACCCTCTCACTGTTACGAAGTGACTTTCTTGTGCTCTTCCTGCTTTCAAGTTTTCTTTGAAGTTAGTGACATCAGCGTTGTCTAGTTAGTGTTTGCTTGGCAGATTTCCTCTATCCTTTCTCAACCTTTCTGTGTCCTGATATGTAAGGTTTGCTTCTTGAAAGTCACATATCTGGCAGGTCCCATTCAACATCTTTGCATCACACCCTTGAGACGCTGCAGGGACCTGACTCTTCTCCATCTTGACGAGCCTGTGGGGAACTGGTTTCCTTACACGTCATTTCACTCAAGTCACAGAGCTACTGATGATGTGAAGTGAGGCCGTACTGTGCCGCGTTGCTTTTCTCCAGTTCATTAATATGTAAGGCAGGAATTTGTGGTTCTGGTTTCATCTCCCATCTTCCTGTTGTTGTCTCTGTTCCATGACCTTTGTGCCTTTGTTGCTCCTTTCCTGACTACTTTTTAAAAAATATATGTATACATATTTTTATTGATTTCAGAGAGGAAGGGAGAGAGAGACAGAAACATGAATGATAAGAATCAGCGATCAGCTGCCTCCTGCACGTCCCCTACTGGGGATCCAGCCGGCAACCCAGGCATGCGCCCTGACTGGGGATCAAACCATGACCTCCTGGTTCATGGTCGACATTCAACCACTGAACCCCACCAGCTGGGTTCCTGACTACTATTTGATTAGCCACATGTTTTTTGGGTTTTTTTTATAATTCCATTAACTCTTCTACTTGCTTCTTAGTTATACATTTTTTTCATTATCTCTTAATGGTTACCCGAGACATTTTAACAAGCATTCCTGACCTATTAAAGTCTACCTTAAATTAAATACTTTTACCTCTTCCTGTTGGGACCTCATCACAATTTATCATCGCCCATCCCCTGCTCCAGTTCTTGGACTACGTCAAGGTAATTTAGTCCCATACACCTTTCAACCCCACGTGCAGTGACATGAGTTCCTACTTACACCTGCTGACCTTTCTTTTGCCACTGTTTCCTAGTTGAACCAATGTGTTACAGGCAAGCATTTCTCTGCATTCTCATCACATAAGTAGCATCAGTTTTTAAAACCTTGCCTATTCCTAGAGAAGAAACTCACCTCATTATTGTTTGAATATCCACTTCTCTGACTATTCACAGAGGTAATTTATGGTGTGTGTGTGGGTGATTGAGGGACAGTTAGATCTTGCAGGAGTCTCGGGGACTGGCAGACCAGACTCTCATGGAAGGGGAGCCCCTGCTACTGCCACAGGCACTCCCAGGCCGGGTGTGGCTTTGGCGTAGAGCCCATGCTTCTGATAGAGGGGAGCAGCAGAGGCCAGGAGCGCAGCCACACCGACACCAGGACTGGCTCAGACACCATCCCGGATCAGTGCAGGGGGCTGCTTACCAGCCATAACCCATGTGGGCCCACCATCACGCCCCGGCGTGAGTGGCATGGTACCGCGGACTCCCAAATGTCTGCAGTGAATGCACAACAGAGAGACTTCCTGCACCGCACCTCCTTGCTTGTGCGCCCAGACCCTGCAACCCAGGACCCCGCACTGTGAGTACAAGCCAGGGGGACCATGGACCCCACCCCCACCCCAGGACCATGCTGCCAGTCAGATCCAAAGCCGCCCGACACACACCCCACTCTGGGCCCCAGGAGAGCACTGCCGCTGCAACCTGGAACCACATGGAGGGCTCAGCCCCAGGTCACAGGTCAATGCTATCATTGCAATCCGGAGCCACTCGGCACATGCCCACCCTGGGCCACAGGACTGTGCTGCCGGTGCAACTCAGTGCGCCCAGCCACTGGTCACAGGACCGCATTGCAAGTGCACTGCCAGAGGGACCTAGGGCGCCACACTGCCGCAGGTGCCAGGGTGGCACAGTGAATTGCACGCCAGAGGGCTCTGGCCCCCACAGGGAGTCACACAACAGAGGAACTGTGCATGTGCCCCCACAACCCAGAGCATCTGCAGCAGACAACTGAGGGACCAGAACCATGGGAGAAGTGGGTACAGCTCAGAGCAGAGACAATAAAGGCATGAGGCTCAGGCAGACCCAGCCTCTAGGCTAACAAGTTCCAGACCATTGGACCTCTAGGGACTTTAACCTCTTGGACCTCAATCAGGGTGCCAGGGCCAGAAAGAGACAGCAAAATGGGAGACAAAGAAACAATCCCCAAAGGAAAGAAAAGGAGAACTCATCAGAAAAGCAATATGTCACAGAAGGAATTCAGACCAGCCCTAACCAGTTTGGCTCAGTGGATAGAGCGTGGGCCTGTGGACTGAAGGGTCCTGGATTTGATTCTGGTCAAGGGTATATATCTTGGTGGCGGGCACATCCCCAGTAGGGGGTGTACAGGAGGCGGCTGATTGATGTTTCTCTCTCATTGATGTTTCTAACTCTCTATCCCTCTCCCTTCCTCTCTGTAAAAAATCAATAAAATATATTTTTTTAAAAAGAATTCAGACCAAAGGTTATAAAGATGCTCAACCATCTGGATGAGAAATTCACCAACATGTGTAAAAATCAAGAGGAAATGAAGAATGACATCGCTGCAATGAAGAACACAATGGAAGGTTTCAACAGCAGACTAGAAGCAGCAGAGGACTGAATCAGCGAGTTAGAAAATAGGATAGAAAAAACACCCAATCTGAAAAGCAATTGTAAAAAAAGCAGGAGAGTTTAAGGGAGCTTTGGGACAACATGAAACGAAGCAACATCCTCATAATAGGGGTGCCAGAAGGACAAGAAGAGGAGCAAGGAATAGACCTATTTGAAGAAATAATGACAGAAAACGTCCCTGACATGGGAAAGAAAAAAAATCACACAAGCACACAGAGTCCCAAACAAGATACACCCAAAAAAGACCACACCAAGACACACCACAATTACAATGGCAAATGTTAATGACAAAGAAAGAATCTTGAGGGCTGCAAGAAAAAAAAACAGAGAGTTCCCTACAAGGGATCGCACATTAGACTATCAACTGATTTCTCAACAGAAACACATCAGGCCAGAAGGGCATAGAATGGAGTATACAAAATGATGCAAAGCAAGGGACTGAATCCAAGAATACTCAATCCAGCAAGGCTATCATCCAAAATTGAAGGGAAAATCAGGAGCTTCACAGACAAAAAAGGCAAAGGGAATTTATTACCACCAAGCCAGCAATGCAGGAAATGCTAAAGAGAATGTTGTAAAAAGAAGAAGTAGACAGGGAATAAGGAAAACAGGAATAGAAAATAAAAATGGCAACAAACTACCTATCAATAATAACCTTAAATGTAAATGGATTAAATGTTCCAATCCAAAGACATAGGGTAGTTGAATGGATAAGAAAACATGCCCCATATATAAGGACTCACACAGACTGAAAGTGAAGGAGTGGAAAAAAATATTTTAAGGCAAAAGGAAATGAAAAAAAAATTGGAGTAGCAACAC